CTGTCTTACTTACTTAGGCGATCCCTCGTTTTCCCGAGGATGATTGTCTTCCAATATTCTTGTGGGTCCGTATGTGGCTGTGGAGCCCTATTCTTGCTCTGCATCTTCTTCCGCAGTGAGGGCATTGGTTTCCAGGTGGAAGGCGGTCTCGGTCGGGGTTGGCTTGACGCGCCTTCCTCTTGGCACGCTTCTCCCTTTCACCCTCCATTTGTGCCTCTTCAAATTCTACAGCACTGCTGGTCACAGCTGACCTCCAGATGGAGCTCAAGGGCCAGGGCTTCCCAGTTCTCAGTGTCTATGCCACAATTTTTAAGGTTGGCTTTGAGCCCAACTTTTAAATCTTCTTTTCCTGTCCCCAACATCCCATTTTCCATTTTTGAGTTTGGAGTAGAGCAACTGCTTTGGGAGACGGTGACATTTGGACATGGCCGGTCCAGCAGAGTTGACGGAGGACCATCGCTTCAGTGCTGGTGGTCTTTGCTTCTTCCAGCACACTGACGTTTGTCCGCTTGTCTTCCCAGGAGATTTGCAGGATTTTCCGGAGGCAGCGCTGATGGAATCGTTCCAGGAGTTGCATGTGACGTCTGTAGACAGTCCACGTCTCACAGGCATATAGCAGAGTTGGGAGGACAATAGCTTTATAAACAAGCACCTTGGTATCCCTACGGATGTCCCGGTCCTCAAACACTCTCTGCTTCATTCGGAAAAATGCTGCACTCGCAGAGCTCAGGCGGTGTTGTATTTCGGTGTCGATGTTGACTTTGGTGGAGAGGTGGCTGCCAAGGTAGCGAAATGATCAACATTTTCTAATGTTACACCATTAAGCTGGCATTGGAGAGGGGTTGGCTGGTGTCTGCTGGAACAGCACCTTGGTTTTTTCAATGTTCAATGACAGGCCGAGCTTCTCGTATGCTTCTGCAAAGGTGTTTAGAGTGGCTTGTAGATCTTCTTCTGAATGCACACAGACGACGTTGTCATCAGCATACTGGAGTTCTATAACAGATGTTGTTGTAACCTGCTCTGTCATGAGTGTGCTGTCACGCGTTGGGCCTGTGAGGATATCTGTTAGCAGAACGTGCTATCTGAATGCCCAACGGGACGCCGGGGTGCCTCGGCTGAGAGGCCTTTCAGATTTCCCCACACAAAGTTATGATGTGTCTTTTGATAAGTCCAACAAAGTTTTATTAGAGATAAAATCTTCAAACACGGATTAAACACTCTATAACTTTGGAAAGTGGTAACTTCTTCAATCTGCCAACAAGGGACAGGCAACTGCTTAACAAACTGTTCCTTTCTTCTTTAAGGGAAACCCTTTGACCCCTCCTTGGGCAATCTCTTTACTTTGCTGGCGTGGGCCCCTACTCCCGGTTCCAAAATGCATAATGGGTTTTTTTTGTCGTGTCATGAGCAACTTGAGAAACTGCAAGTCGCTTCTGGTGTGAGAGAATTGGCCGTCTGCAAGGACGTTGCCCAGGGGACGCCTGGATGATTTGATGTTTTATCATCCTTGTGGGAGGCTTCTCTCATGTCCCCGCATGAGGAGCTGGAGCTGATAGAGGGAGCTCATCCGCCTCTCCCCGGATTTGAACCTGCGACCTGTTGGTCTTCAGTCCTGCCGGCACAGGGGTTTAACCCACTGCGCCACCGGGGGCTCCTATGCATACAGTTAATGCCTTAAAGCTTAATATAGAACATTCAGTCTTGGTTTTCTTCCCTTCTTTCTTTTTTTCTTGCCAATGGAAAACGCACTAGCAGGGAACATACATTAGCAATGGACACTGCAATAGTGAGAACCAGCCCAGAGCGCAGCTGCCCTGATAAATTTATGGAGTTTCAGTAAAAAGATAACAGAACATTATGGCAATGTTCGAAATCAAAAGGTCAGGGAGAGCTAATAGCTTGTCCAAGGCCCATGCTGTTGCAAATGTAATGAAACGGTAATGAAAATAATTCTCAAATTTGAAATGAAACCTTTGCATGTTAAATATGAAAGATGAGGGTAACCGGGGTGAAAGCAGACAGAGTCGCGCTCGCTGGGAGCACAGGTCAGATCGCACACAGCAGCCCTTCCTCCAAAAGGAACGCCGAGTGCAGAGAGAGACAGGGGAAGGCAGCCAGGAAATCAGGTCAATTTGTGGGAAGGGAACCCACATTTACAGGCCGGAGTCAAATGAGAAAATGAGGCTGTGCGTCCGTCTGCGGAACGTGTGGTCTGGCACTGCGAATGGCACTCTCAGGAACACGTCAAGGAGCTCAAGAGGGAATGGACCAACCACCCATTTTGGTTGGGAATGCAAGAAGCAGAGAGTCAGCCAAGCCAAGTTAATGTACTCCTTGTTAGATTGCCTCCCCCACACACCCATACAACCCCAACTATCTCAGAATGCTTCAATTAAATGTTAAAAAATCATTTAAAAAAAAATGCAGAAAACCCTATTCTAGTCAAAGCTGGAAATATACTTGTTTTTGGACTACAACTCCCAGAGTCCTCCACCCATCAGCGGTGTTCTGGGACCTTGAATTAAAATACAAGTTCTGATATTCTATGCCTTCTGAGTTCCACATATTTTATAATTTCCGTAGGTCAAGCTATGGACCAGCAGTAGCTATGGAGTAGCTATGGGGAGCCCTCTCAGCCCAGTCATAGCTAATTTCTACATGGAACACTTTGAAAAACAAGCCCTGGAAACAGCAACCAAAAAGCCCACGATATGGTTCAGATATGTGGATGACACCTTCACCATTTGGAGCCATGGAGAAGAAGAACTCAACAGGTTCCTGGACCATCTTAACAGCATCCACCCAAACATCCAGTTCACTATGGAAAAAGAAAATGAAGGAAGACTGCCTTTTCTAGATGTCCTCAGTCATCCGCAAACCAGATCAACAATTGGGTCACACCGTTTACAGAAAACCCACACACACAGATAGATATCTACATCAAAACTCCCAACCATCACCCAAGTCAAAAAAGAAGCACCATTAAAGCCTTGGCAGACCGTGCAAAAAGAATCTGCGAAGCCCACCTCCTCCAAGATGAACTGAACCACCTAAACTGGGCTCTCCAGGCCAATGGAGACTCCACCTCAGACATCAGAAGAGCTGCAAGACCACCGAGAAGAAGCCACGAGAATAAAGACAAAGATCCACCCAGAGGAAAAGTGTTCTTGCCATACATCAAGGGAACCACTGACCGCAGAGGGAAGCTGAGGAGGAAACACAACATACAAACAATCTACAAACCTACCAAGGAAATCCAACAAATGCTCCGTTCAGCAAAGGACAAGAGGGATCCTCTCACCTCTGCAGGAGTCTACCGTGTACCATGCAGCTGTGGTCAAGTCTACAGAGGGACCACCAAACGCAGTATTATTTATAAACTTTATTTATACCCCGCTAACATCTCCCGAAGGACTCGGTGCGGCTTACAAAAGGCCAAGGCCAAACACATCAATAAAACAACAGCATAACAAATACAACAATAAATAAACTCATAAAGTAAAGCAATAAACATAAAAACAATAACAATAAGCATTAGACAATAACACCACAACGCATTTAAAAACTGAGGCCAGACCAAATGTAATGAATACAATTTTAAAAATGCTGGACATGACCAGGTGAAATGGATAGGTTTTTGGAGATAGGTGCAGTGTGCAGACAATCCTAAATCTCTAGTAAAGTGCATTTGGGACATGATGCAAGGAGTTTCCTATTCTAGGAAAACACACTGGAACAGCCACATCTTCAAGCTCTTCCTAAAGACTGCCAATGTTGGGACTTGTCTGATGTCCTTGGGGAGAGAGTTCCAGAGTTGAGGGGCCACAACAGAGAAGGCCCTGGTCCCTCGTCCCCACCAAACGCGCTTGCGATGCATGTGGGATCGTGAGCAAGGCCTCTCCAGATGATTGGAGAGATCGTGTGGGTTCGTATACAGAGATGCGGTCATGCAGTAATGCCCAAACACGAATCAAGGAACATGAAAAGCACTGCAGACTACTTCAACCAGAGAAATCAGCCATAGCAGAGCACCTAATGAACCAACCTGGACACAGCATATTATTTGTGCTGGACCACTCTCACAACCACCATGTCAGACAACACAGAGAAGCCATTGAAATACACAAGCATGTGGACAATTTTGTTGAGAAGTGATGTTCTTGTTTGTTTCCTCTCTGTTGTTGTGCAGAGCACCTGATGAACCAACATGGACACAGCATATTATTCGAGAACACAGAAATGCTGGACCACTCTCACAACCACCATGTCAGACTACACAGAGAAGCCACTGAAATCCACAAGCATGTGGACAATTTCAACAGAAAGGAGGAAACCATGAAAATGAACAAGATCTGGCTATCAGTATTAAAAAAAAACTCTAAAATTGCAACAGCACAGCAACAGAGAGGAAACAAACAAGGACATCTAATCACCTTTCAACAAAAGTTTGCTCCAGGCACTGTCAGCCCATTGTATGCTAATCAAGGTGGTCAGTTGAAACATTCACACCTAGCTCCAGCAGACAAGAGTCCTTTGTCCCACTCTGGTCATTCCACAGATATATAAACCCTTTTTCCTAGATCCAACAGACCTCATGACCTCTGAGGATGCTAGCCATAAATGCAGGCGAAATGTCAGGAGAGAATGCCTCTAGACCATGGCCATATAGCCCGAAAAAACCTACAACAACCCTGTGACCAGCAGTGCTGCAGAATCTGGAGAGCACAAGTGGAGGGTGAAAGAGAGAAACGTGCCAAGATGAAGGCATGTCAAGCCAACCCCAACCGGGACCGCCTTCTACCTGGAAACCGATGCCCTCACTGCGGGAGAAGATGCAGGTCAAGCATAGGGCTCCACAGTCACCTACGGACCCACTCTGGAGGATTATCCTACTCAGACAACAAGGGATCGCCAAAGTAAGTAAGGTCAAGCTAGGAATATATTCACATTCAGGTTATGCCAGTTCTACTTTCTAGGATTTTAGCAGATGATGTGCTTACCTGCCTCGCCGACAAAGACTTCCACAGGCGCACTTGCAGGGCTCTCCCCAACAATGTTATAGGCTGTCATTACAACTTCGTACCTCTTGTACTTCTTCAGCTCTAGAAATGCAAATAATTGGGTTGAAAGATTAGCATTACCTTCAATGTCTTCAAAAGATCTTAAGAAAAGCATGCAAACTGAAAAGTATTTAGTTAGCGTATTGTAGATGCAGCTTCAGGAGCAACACAGCAACAGTTATTTTGCTTCTATAGCAATTGAAGGGGACGTTTGTTCTGTTAGAAATAATAATGATAATAATAATCCTACTCGGATCTGCACGCATTATTCGCCAATACATCACATAGTTCTAGACACTTGGGAATAATAATAATAATAATAATAATAATAATAATAATAATAATAATAATAAAAATGATAATGACTGACAAAGTTTTGGAGCACAATACACCTGACCTCACGATTGTGTTAAAAAACAAAGTATGATCGTTGATGCTGCCATCCCAGGTGACAGCAGGATTGAAAAGAAACAATAACAATAACAACAACAACAACAACAATAATAATAATAACACTTTATTTGTACCTCGCTACCATCTCCCCAAGGGACTCAGTGCGGCTTACATGAGCCCGAGCCCGAATACAATACAAGCAAAACAACAACAGTACAAGCAATTAAAATAAAAACATAGACAATACAATATACAACATTATCAATAAGACAACACGCAATTAAAAACAGTGGGAAGGCCAAGTGTAAAGTTAAAATGGAAATAACAACTGGAAAATCTGACGCGATATGAGGATTTAAAGATCAAACTGCAAAGACTCTGGCACAAGCCAGTTAAGGTGGTTCCAGTGGTGATCGGCACACTGGGTGCAGTTCCTAAAGACCTTGGCCTGCACTTAAACACAATTGGCGCTGACTAAATTACCATCTGCCAGCTGCAGAAGGCCACCTTACTGGGATATGCATGCATTATTCACCGAGACATCACACTGTCCTAGACACTTGGGAAGTGTCCCAACATGTGATCCAATACAACAGCCAGCAGAATGATCTTGTCCGCTGTGGACTCATGTTGTGTTTCAAATAGGCCTGGGTAACAACGGAAAAATTTGTTTCTAAAATCGATTTGTATTTGGGGGGGGGTTTGTTTCGATATTTAAAATAATTACAAAATTTTCCTTTTAAAAAGTTCGATATTTACAAAATTTCGTAAATGGTAAAAAATTAACGAATCGATTTCCGAAACAATAACGAATCGATTCGTTAATGGCGGACGCGACCGCGAAATACACTAAAAAACCTCCAAAACCTTCTGAAGCTTCCCTCTCCCTCTGTTGTTGACTGTTGATGTGATATTATAATTTTTTTTTCACTAATTAAACCATAAAACTGGCCCAGACATGCGGAAATAATAACGAAACGGCCTCAAAACAATAACGAAACGAATACAATATCAAAATACGAAGCATTTACAAAACGTTTTTGAAAATTCGTTTTTTTTAATAATTGCTCCAGAATGGTTCGTTATCGTTTTGTAATTGAAAAAATTGACGAATTATTAACGAATTACGAATTAACGAAACGAAACCGCCCAGCCCTAGTTTCAAATAATAATAATAATAATAATGTGCTAACACAGCCCTGACACCATTTTTTCAGCACAATTACATGCTATCATAGCAACCTGTCAATTATGGTGATTCTGGGATCTCCATGTGCAAATTGGGCCACCTGCTAGATCATCCGGGAAGCTTGTGAAAGATGCTCAGCTGAAAATCCCATGAACATTATGTGAGCATAATTCCAAAGATCTGTGCACCCTCTTTCCTGTTGCATGGAAGTTACTATTCCAACTTCGCCACCAAATCATTATCCCAGGAAAGATGCTGCAAGGTTAATAGGCATCCCTTTTCATTTGAGAGTCCCTGAAGTATTTGCAAATATGCTGCCCACATCTCTGAGTCAGAAACCAACGTGTTGACTGTCAGTTGCAGGTAGACAGACAACTGATAGTATCGTCCTACTGCTCAAATTCTGCAGCATAATAAATATAAAGCATCTGATATATTGTAGAAAGCTGACAGCTTTATGGGGATTTGAAACCCTTCCCAGTATATACACAAGAACCCCCCCCCTCCCCTCTTTGTGTTCGGAGCTGCAAACAATAAGATATATTTCCATAGCAATATGTGAAAAAATGGCACTGAAGCATGGCACAAAAACATAGCCCAGTGGGGACTCTGGTGCAGAACAGGGATCAGAACAAACTGCCCAGTGGATTGAAAACCCATGAGGATGGACAGCTGGGAGTTATGGGTGAGCTGTATGAAAGCACAGAATCTAAGCTGGACGGTGAATGACGGGAGAGGAAAACAAAAAAAAAACTCAAGGAAGGGAAAGACATCTATCTTGATCAGAACTGTAGGGAAAGGGAGATGAGATACACTAGTTAAGTACATCTAATTCTGTGTTGTAGAAGTTTTTTCAGGCTGTATGGTCATGTTTTAGAAGCATTCTCTCCTGACATTTCGCCTGCATCTATGGCAGGCAACCTCAGAATTTGTGAGGTCTCACAACCTCTGAGGGTGTTTGCCATAGACGCAGGTGAAACGTCAGGAGAGAATGCTTCTAGAACATGGCCATACAGCCTGAAAAACCTACAACAGCCCAGTGATTCTGTCCATGAAACCCTTCAACAATACATTGAACATCTAATTCTCATATCCTCATGTCTCATGGACACCCTGCTACTGGCAACTGAGATAGATTTAGATCCTGCCTCCTTACTGAGATCTACCAATGTGTTTACGATTTTAATGTGGCTGTTTAATTTTGTCAATGTAAGGTTTCTTAAAGACTTTTTGATAATAAATTATGATGCCAGCTAATGTCATTGCCATCCCTATCCAGTCATTGCCTTGCATTCTGCTTCGTTCTATCGCTCCTTGTCTTGTTATGAGTTCCTGTTCAACTGAACAATGAAGGTGAAATTCTGGAACTCCTTGAAGATAAGCAAAAGACCAGCAGTCTTGAGAGAACGTAAAATAGAAAGAAAAAAGACATAGCTGTGTTACACCAGGATTGTGGCGCAGCTGGCTGAGTGTCAGCTGCATTAAGATCACTCTGACCAAAAGGTCATGAGTTCGAAGCCAGCCCGGGTTGGAGTGGGTTTCCAACCAATTGTGTAGCCTGTTGTCGACCTTTGCAACCCAAAAGACAGTTGCATCTGTCAAGTAGGAAAATTAGGTACCACCTTAAAGTGTGGGGAGGCTAAATTAACTGATTTATGAGGCCATAAAGAAGACTCCAGCAAAGCATTCCAGCGGGGAAGCATGCGGGGAATGCGGAAGTGCTTCATCAGCGTCGCAGATGGACGATGAAAGCGACAGCTCCCCTGGCGGCCAGAAGAAGTTAAATAGCCTCTGTGTATGTCTGTATATGTTTGTATGTCAAAAATCGGCATTGAATGTTTGCCATATATGTGTACACTGTAATCCGCCCTGAGTCCCCTGTGGGGTGAGAAGGGCGGAATATAAATACTGTAAATAAATAAATAAATACATGGTTGCTGTAAGTTTTTCGGGCTGTATGGCCATGTTCCAGAAGCATTCTCTCCTGACATTTTGCCTGCATCTATGGCAGGCATCCTCAGAAATTGTGAGGTCTCACAACCACTGAGGATGCCTGCCATAGATGCAGGTGAAACATCAGGAGAGAATGCTTTTGGAACATGGCCATACAGCCTGTAAAACTTACAACAACCCAGTGATTCTGGCCATGAAAGTCTTCGACAATAGCTGTGTTAGTCAGCAAGGGGATTTTATAACACCTCAGTGTATAGCTGAAATAACAAAGTTGGGAGTGTAAGTTGCACTAAGGACTTTATTATGTGAGCAGGCAAACTGGCATTGGAAAGGGACCTATCACACATCACTGTGGAGCATCCTGTTCCAATGTGCCTCCTCCCTATGATTCTCCCATCCCTAGCTATTGGTAGGTAAAATCTACGAATAGTTCACAACTCCGTTAAGATTCAATAATGTGCCTTAAGGAGATGGGCCCCTTCCATTTCTCTGCCAGCATGCTAGCAGTAACGTGATATCAGAGGGTGGGATTCTCTCGTCTCCCCCTTGCTATTCCCAAGCTGGGTGTTTCATTTTTAATATATCTATAAAGTAAAGGTTTCCCCTTGACATTAAGTCTAGTCGTGTCTGGCCCTAGGGAGTGGTGCTCATCTCCATTTCTAAGCCGAAGAGCCGGTGTTGTCCACAGACACCGTCAAGGTCATGTGGCCAGCATGACTGCATGGAGCACTGTTACCTTCCCACAGAAGTGGTATCTATTGATTTATTCACATTTGCATGTTTTTGAACTATTAGATTGGAAGAAGTTGGGGCTAACAGTGGGAGCTCACCCCTCTTGCTGGATTTGAACCACCAACCTTTTGGACAGCAAGTTCAGCAGCTCAGCAGTTTAACCTGCTGCAACACCAAGGGGCCTTTTTATCTATACATACTTTTTTTTTCATGCTAAAATTGCACGAAAAATAAATATAAAAGAAATAAAAGTCTGGAGTAGTGCAGAAAGCCTGGGTGACATGAGTGTGTATAAATATGATTGCAGACCCAAGGCAATTGAGCTACTGAAGAGACGTGCCATTCTGAAAGGGTTCTACCTGGTACGTATCCATTATCTGAGTTAACATGACTGTAGTGGAATAATGCGTTGGCGTGATAAAGTCCTGTGTTTACTTCCTGACATGCATCTGAGGACGTTGACTTTGTCTACAAAAGCTTATGCTGCCATACTCATTCTCTTAGTTAGTCTCTAAGGTGTTATAAGATCCTTTTGCAAACACAACGTTTCCGTCAGACTGACAGAAGCTCCATTCAGTTCCTTTCTTATCAGCGGCTGAATATTCACAGGGGATTCCGTGCAGCAGAAATGCTGGGAAAGAGAAAGGGAAACCAAATCTGTGGGGCCAAATCTCTCTGGTGACCTTCTCAGCTTCACTCCAAGGCACACCACACAGATCTGTCCTCACCAGAAAGCAGGCAGGCCTTTAAAGCCATCTAACCTCGTTTTCTTCATTTCCAACTGTGCGGGTTTCTACGTGATGACCTGACTTTCTCCAGGTCCTTTCTAATTTAGCCCTGTGGGTAGCTGAGGATCTGAGCCAGCATTCGGGTATAGGAAAGAAACCCTTGGATGGCCTAGAAATATGAACCAAGGTCCATACATTTTGCTACCAGGACATCCAATCTATATGCATTTGCACTTTTCCTGGTTGCTTGCTTGCATGCTGTCGCTTCTGTGACGAGAGAATCAGCCGTCTATGAAGACGTTGCCCAGGGGATGCCCGGATGTCTTGCAATCCTGTGAGGAGGCTTCTCTCATGCTCTGACCTACAAGAAGCATTGCCTGAACATCAAGCAAAAAGTGGGTGCTAGAAACAATATCATACGAAAGCTGACTGGCACAACCTGGGGATCACAACCAGACACAGTGAAGACATCTGCCCTTGTGCTGTGCTACTCTGCTGCTGAGTACGCATGCCCAGTGTGGAACACATCTCACCACGCTAAAGCAGTGGATGTGGCTCTTAATGAGACATGCCGCATTATCATGGGGTGTCTGCGCCCTACATCACTGGAGAAATTACACTGCTTAGCCAGTATTGCACCACCTGACATGCCAGGAAGTAGCAGCCAATAGTGAAAGGACCAAAGCAGAGACATTTCCAGCTCATCCCTTGTTTGGGTTTCAGCCAGCACGTCAACGACTTAAATCTAAAATAGTTTTCTAAGATCTACAGAGACACTCGCTGGAACACCTCAGCAAGTGAGAGTCCAAAAGTGGCAGGCTCAAACCCAGAACCTCAACCAATGGCTGATACCAAATGAGAGACTCCCCCCTGGGCACACAGAGGACTGGGCGACTTGGAAGGCGCTGAACAGACTGCACTCTGGCACCACGAGATGCAGAGCCAACCTTCAGAAATGGGGCTACAAAGTGGAATCCTCAACATGCGAATGTGGAGAGGAGCAAACCACTGACCACCTGCTGCAATGCACCCTGAGCCCTGCCACATGCACAATGGAGGACCTCCTTGCGGCAACACCAGAAGCACTCCAAGTGGCCAGCTACTGGTCAAAGGACATTTAATCAACTACCAAACTCACAAGTTTTGTATTTTGTCTGTTTGTTTGCTTTGTTCTGTTAGAAATGTAATATTTACTGGTTACCCTGACACGACAAATAAAATGCACTTTTCCTCGAGTTATGTTTTGCGTTAAAAAGAGAATGAATTATCTCTGTCGCCTACACTTGCTATACTGAAAAAAAGTGTCAACAGAGTAGGTATTTGAAAGCAGATCCCACAAGCGAAATCCCCCGAGGACAAATTGGAAACGGCACCAGAAACCGTTACGATGGCAAAGAGCTGCATCTAACAATACTCCGTGTTGGCATGCACACACTTACGTGTTAATTCATACGTCGTTAATACAGAACTGCTGTTCACTGTCTTGAAGCTGCTCTGGGCTATTCGGGGTAAGCAAAGCAGAAAGTGGTTAGAGTGCAGGGAAGACTGTTATCACAAATGACACACAGCGCAGGTAGAGGGAAACAACGCTGTCCACCCGTAAATGGCTTTAAGCTTGAGGACTGGACCTCGCGAGGCAATAAAAGCCACATCAATTTTCAGATAACACGCCAAAAGATCATCAGTCACAAGGGTTCACTCATCTTCCTTGCCACACAGAGAAGGCACGCAATACGAGGGAATAGGAAATGACACGGAATGCTATAACCGGACCAAAACAATAAAGCACCAGGGAAGAAGAATCCCCCAATATCCAGCTAGGGCTAGGTTTAGATAATGCAGGTATTTTGCGAGATTGTATATTTTGGGGCTGAAAGGGCACCTGCATTTTCATGTTGTGATTTCATTCGCACGTATACGCCTGTGATACGGATGGAATGCACAGCAGGCGACGTTCTAACTCCGCCGCACGGATGAGGCTCTCTCTTTCCCCCTCCACCCTTTATCCTGCTCTCCCAATTGATACAGCCTTTAATTTGATGGACTAGGCCAGCTAGTTTTGGACACCTGATTTACTACTAGGGTAGCCACAAGGTGGAAACAGCAGAAAGCTGGGCGTAATTGCGAGTGCCGTGGATCAAAGGGAGGGGAGGAAAGTGCTGTTTGGATGACCTCCTCGGACATACTGTAAACCTTTCAGCTCAGCAACAGAATAAATGTCAGAACAAGTGCAAATCACTCTTTTTCATTAACCATTTTAACAACAGATGTCTTCAACAAAGGGGCAAACAAACCAGCCTTCCTTCTAAAGCTTTCACTCAGAATATGAAGAGGCTAGCAACTACGAGGGTTGAATGAAAAGTAATGCCTCCACCTTCGTAACTCCTCAACAGATGGCAGTACTGGTATGCAGCAGGTTCTGGCTTGTTCGGTAGACTCTCTTCTACAGTTCCATTTTGGCAGGAAGCCTTAGCATTGAACGGTTGTGTTGTTAAAGTGCGAAGTATGGAACCCTGCGCAGACGGTCGGTCAATGTGACTTAAGCAACGTGCCGTCATTGAATTCTTGACAGCAGAAGTTGTCACCTCAACATCTTTAAACTTACTCGCCCAATGACACACAGTACTCACATCAACACAATCACCATAAACAATTTCAATTCTCTGATGAATCTCCTTTGGGGTGACACCTTCTGCTGTCAAGAATTCAATGACTGTAGTCAAATGAAGTTTTTACCACATGTGGTGGTCGTGTAATGTGGCTTAAAAAATTTTGAAGACAATTCACTAAGAAATACAGAAACTTTTGGACATTAAATTACAAATGAAACCCGAATATTTTCTACTGAGTTTTTCAGAAGAAAAGATAGAAAAAAATAAAGAAGTGCTCTTCAATTATGTCACACAGCAGCAAAAATAACTTATGCCCAAATGTGGAGACAGAAAGAAATCCCTACAAACGTACAATGGATGACTAAAATTATGGAAATAATGAACATGGACGAATTGACCTAACTCTTTAAAAGACACTATGGAAAACCAATTAAAAAGACGGACTGGAACCTATTCCGAGTATATATGGGAAAAGAGAACATTGTTAATATAATCTATATATATAAATCTGTAAGGGGCATCCAACGGGACAGCAAAACTCAAAAAAACCCCAATGAAAATTAACCAAAATTCCCATGCACCTACCACAACCCACAAGGTACAAACAAATCGAATCAAAATAGAAAACAACACAACAACACACTCACAAAATGGCAAAACAACTGAGCATGCGCAAGAGTCTACTGAACAAGCCAGTACCTGCCGCATACTCCGTTATGAAGGTGGAGGCATTACTTTTCATTCAACCCTTGTAACCAGATTACACTGAAAGAGCAACACAGACACACACTGACACATTGGTTACTTACGTGTAAGCTCTGCTCGTAAAGCTGATGGGTTTTTAATGATTTTGGACTCTGGTCCTGATCCCATGCTTTCGTATTCCAACTCCCGGTAATAAATGCGATATCCCAAGAGAAGGCCATTCAGGCTCTCAGCCTTTGGAGGCTACAAGAGGTTTCCATTAAAAGACATTAGTTTTCGGGAATCAATTTGTGCCTCATGTTAGATACCCAAAACAGCATCAAGACAAATATTGCTATCCGTTGTTGAAATCGTCCTACAGATTAACTTGTTTTCAAGCAAGCTGGATCTATACCAGGCTTGGAAAAGCTGCTCCAAGTTCCAGAAACTCTCAGATAGCATGGCCAACCTTCCAGTCAAAGTGATTTTGCATGATCAAAGAGGGGATTGTTTAGGTTCCCTCACAAAAGAAATATGGCAAGAGACCAGGGTAGTCTACCTGGGGAACACAAACATCCCAGTCTCAGGATTGTTGTGTGTTTTCTGGACAGTATGGCCATGTTCCAGAAGCATTCTCTCCTGACGTTTCTCCTACATCTATGGCAGGCATTCTCAGAGGTTGTGAGGTCTGTTGGAAACTAGGAAAATGGGGTTTGTATATATGTGGAAAGTCCAGGGTGGGAGAAAGAACTCTTGTTTCAGTTGTTACAAGTGTTGGACCACTCTAACAACTACCATGTCAGACTACACAGAGAAGCCACTGAAACCCACAAGCATGTGGACAATTTCAACAGAAAGGAGGAAACCATGAAAATGAACAAAATCTGGCTACTATTAAAAAAAATCTCTAAAATCATAACAGTAAATAAAGAACAACATTCAAAAGGGGAACTCCAGACAAGAAACAATCAGGGACAGCTAATCCTCCACAAAGGATTCCCCCAGGCAGGAAGCAGCCAGACCTTGAAACTGCTAGTAAATAAAGAACAACACTCAAAAATGGGAATCTCAGACAAGAAACCATCAGGGTCAGTTAATCACCTCTCAATAAATGATTCCCCCAGGCAGTAAGAAGCCAGACCTCAAAAACTGTGAGACCATTAAATGCTAATCAAGGTGGCCAATTTCTACATTCACACCTACCTCAAACAGACAAGAGTTCTTTCTCCCACCCTGGACATTCCACAGATATATAAACCCAATTTTCCTAGTTTCCAACAGACCTCAAAATTTCTGGGGATGCCTGCCATAGATGTGGGTGAAACATCAGGAGAGAATGCTTCTAGAACATGGCCAGACAGCCCAAAAAAACACACAACAACCCAGTGATTTCGGCCATGAAACCCTTCAATAACACACCCCAGTCTCAAGTTGAGAGACGATTCCGGGAGACAACAAGAAGACACAGTCTTGGGTGCAATGTAAGAAAACTATTTCACCATGCTTGTAATACAGCATATAAGGCCTCTGCTTTGAACAAGTTTACTCAGTGCAGATACACACACACTAGCTGTACCCGCCCCACGTTGCTGCAGCCAACCTTCCCTCCCTCTTTCTCTGCTCCTTTTTCTCTCTCCTTCCTTCCTTCCTTCCTTCCTCTTCCTTCCTTCCTTCCTTCCTTCCTTCCTTCTCTCTCTCTCTCTCCTTCCTTCCTTTCCTTCCTTCCTTCTTCCTTCCTTCCTTCCTTCCTTCTCTCTCTCTTTATTTCTCTCTCTCCTTCTCTTCTTCTTCCCTTCCTTCCCCCACCTTTTCTTTCCCTTCCTCTTTTCCCCCCTTTCTTCCTTCTCTACCTATTCTTGGACTGCAACTCCCAGCAGTCCTCCTGATCTACCTATCTATCTATCTATCTATCTATCTATCTTATCTATCTGGAGGATTGCTGGGAGTTGCAGTCCAGGAATAGGAAATTGGAAATATGCAGGGATTGGTATGCTCTCAAAGAAATCCAAGGAGAAGAAAGCTTGCAGCTTGGAAGCAGTGCATTTGGATCATCCTCCTCTCCTAAAGGGCCTGGTCTAGGGGATGCTGGGAGCTGTAGTCCTGAAGAGAGGTGGATATATTATTGTGTATTTTGTTTTCCGGGGGAGTCGTTTTTGCGCATGCGCTGTAGCATGTTTTTGCTTTTTTTTGGCTTTTTAAGTCTCTTCTACTGTGTTTTTCAGTGTTTTTATGAGTGATGGTCACTCATTGGCCTGAGAGGTGTCTTGTGTCCAAATTTGGTGTCAATTCGTCCAGTGGATTTTGAGTTATGTTAATCCCACAAACGAACATTACATTTTTGTTGGATTGGAGAGATGGGCCAAAACTAACAAAATGAAGTTTGGAAGATACTCCACTTAGGCAGAAAAAAAAATGAAAAGCAAAGATACAGAATGGGGGACAATGCCTGGCTCGAGAGCAGTACGTGTGAAAAAGATCTTGGAGTCCTCGTGGACAACAAGTTAAACATGAGCCAGGAATGTGATGTGGCGGCAAAAAAAGCCAATGGGATTTTGTCCTGCATCAAGAGGAGCCTAGTGTCTAGATCTAGGGAAGTCATGCTCCCCATGCTCTATTCCGCTTTGGTTAGACCACACCTGGAATATTGTGTCCAATTCTGGGCACCACAATTCAAGAGAGATATTGACAAGCTGTAATGTGTCCAGAGGAGGGCGACTAAAATGATCAAGGGTCTGGAGAACAAGCCCTATGAGGAACGGCTTAAAGAGCTGGGCATGTTTAGCCTGAAGAAGAGAAGGCTGAGAGGAGATATGATAGCCATGTATAAATATGTGAGAGGAAGCCACAGGGAGGAGGGAGCAAGCTTGTTTTCTGCTTCCCTGGAGACTAGGACGCAATGGAACGATGGCTTCAAACTACAAGAAAGGAGATTCCATCTGAACATGAGGAAGAACTTCCTGACTGTGAGAGCCGTTCAGCAGTGGAACTCTCTGCCCCGGAGTGTGGTGGAGGCTCCTTCTTTGGAAGCTTTTAAACAGAGGCTGGATGGCCATCTGTCAGGGGTGATTTGAATGCAATATTCCTGCTTCTTGGCAGGGGATTGGACTGGATGGCCCAGGAGGTCTCTTCCAACTCTTTGATTCTATGATTCTATGTATATAGATATACACAAACACAAACATATGCAGAAAGGCTGGGAGCAGGAATCTCTGGGTACCATTTGCTGAAATTGTCCCATAAGGAGAACTTGGGAAAGTCTCTTTTTTGGACTGTGCCGCAATATGTCTTCTCTCCCAGGCCATCGAGCGCAACATCTTCAATATGTGGTTAATTAGAAATCTGAATAAGCACAAAGACTTTGGATGGGGCTGCCTTGATCCGAATCTAGGTAGGGGACAGGCGGCCAATTCAATTAACTAGTTATTTTAGATAATCAAGGTTCTGATAATGAGGGTTCCATATAATGCCTTAATTTTATTTCTCCCCTTTAAATAAAAAAAAACCTTCCAGATTGATATCAGGTCTCTATTCAATAGAGAGCCGGTAGGGTTCTCTCTGGGGCTCGGATCTTATATCAGAATCAGAAGCTATTAAGATACATAGCACACAAAGGCCTGGGAAATAAATGGCACGGGATGATCTTTCCTCTTTGCCTTGATAATCATAGTTCTGCCTCGGAAAAAGGACTCTGTGGAAAGGTCAGGGCATCTCGCTCTTATCTGTCTTTCATGGAAAAAATCCTCAGGTTTTGATGTAATGGATTATTTAGGATTTTCTATCTGTTTCTAAGATGGGCCCAGAGGATTTGCAGCGCCAGGTGAAGTGATTATGAGTGGCAGTCGGCACGGTGTCAAGGAACAACAACAACAATTTGTTTACACTGTGCATTCCGGACACATTCTCGGAGCAAAGAAGAAATAGACTGGAACAAAGCATTAACTTGAATGTATTGTCGAAGGCTTTCATGGCCGGAATCACTGGGTGTTGTAGTTTTTTTCGGGCTATATGGCCATGGTCTAGAGGCATTCTCTCCTGACGTTTCGCCTGCATCTATGGCAAGCATCCTCTGAGGTAGTGAAATCTGTTGGAACTAGGCAAAAGGGTTTATATATCTGTGGAATTATGTCCAGGGTGGGACAAAGGACTCTTGTCTGCTGGAGCTAGGTGTGAATGTTTCAACTGACCACCTTGATTAGCATACAATGGCCTGACTGTGCCTAGGGCAAAATTTTGTTGAGAGGTGATTAGATGTCCCTGATTGTTTTCCCTCTGCTGTTTTGCTATTTTAATTTTAGAGTTTTTTTTAATACTGGTAGCCCGATTTTGTTCATTTTCATAGTTTCCTCCTTTCTGTTGAAATTGTCCACATGCTTGTGGATTTCAGTGGCTTCTCTGCGTAGTCTGACATGGTGGTTGTTGGTCCAGTATTTCTGTGTTCTCAAATAATACGTTGTGTCCAGGTTGGTTCATCAGGTGCTCTGCTATGGCTGACTTCTCTGGTTGAAGTGCTCTGCAGTGCCTTTCATGTTCCTTGATTCGTGTCTGGGAGATGATGCTGCTGCGTTTGGTGGTCCCTCTGTAGACTTCTTGTCCACAGCTGCATGGTACACGGTAGACTCCAGCAGAAGTGAGAGGGTCCCTCTTGTCCTTTGCTGAACGCAGCATTTGTTGGATTTTCTTGGTGGGTCTGTAGATAGTTTGTATGTTGTGTTTCCTCATCAGCTTCCCTCTGCGGTCAGTGGTTCCCTTGATGTCTGGCAGGAACACTTTTCCTCTGGGTGGATCTTCATCTTTACTCTCGTGGCTTGTTCTTGGTCTTGCAGCTCTTCTGATGTCTGAGGTGGAATCTCCATTGGCCTGTAAAGCCCAGTTGAGGTGGTTCCGTTCATCTTGAAGGAGGTGGGTTTCGCAGATTCTTTTCACACCTAGCTCCAGCAGATAAGAGTCCTACACAAAGAAGCCATTGAAATCCACAAGCATGTGGACAATTTCAACAGAAAGGAAGAAACCATGAAAATGAACAAGATCTGGCTACCAGTACTAAAAAATTCTAAAATTGCAACAGCAAAAACAGCAGAGAGGAAACAGGCAGGAACATCTAATTACCTTTCAAGAAGAGTTTGCTCCAGGCACAGTCAGCCCATTGTATGCTAATCAAGGTGGTCAGTTGAAATATTCACACCTAGCCCAACTGACAAAAGTCTTTTGTCTCACCCTGGTCACTCCACAGATATATAAACCCTTTTTCCTAGTTCCAACAGACCTCATGACCTCTGAGGATGCTTGCCATAGATGCAGGCGAAACGTCAGGAGAAAAATTGCCTCCAGAACATGGCCATATAGCCCGGAAAAACCTACAACAACCCAAGAGTCCTTTGTCTCACCCTGGTCACTCCACAGATATATAAACCCTTTTTCCTAGTTCCAACAGACCTCACGACCTCTGAGGATGCTTGCCATAGATACAGGCGAAACGTCAGGAGAGAATGCCTCTAGAACATGGCCATATAGCCTGAAAAAACCTACAACACCCATTAACTTGAATGCCAGAAAGGCATCCAGACATCAGTGCCGAGCCCCAGAATCGCCCGTTTCCTCAACAGAACAGTCTCCATTTGTTCTGAGGTGGGCTTCAAACAATCAGGCGGGGAGCTTAATGCATCAACATCTAATTTTGCAGCACACATTCCCTTCAGAACCATTAAAATGTCATTTTGCACAGGGAAACCCAAAATAACTTGGATTCCGTCTGTGTTTTTCTCAGCATTTAGCTAGACTATAAGCTTATTTTACATTTTTATTTGAAAACTACAGTGTGTCTAAATTGCTGAGTACCCAAATAACATAAGCGGAGTAATGACATGTAATTGCCTTCAATTCCCTTGATGTGGCTTGGGTGCAACTATCCCATTACATTTTCATGAAATAAAAAGCACCCAATTATCTAAACTACTACCTATTTTGCATTCATTATCCACCCCATATCTATCAACGGGATCAACCTTTCTTCCCACATGTGCCACGCTCATTCTCCTCCGTTCACGTCCCCGTCTGTTCCATTGTGTGGCTGACTGGGAGCCGGGTCGCTGATTGATACCGAGGCATGGCGCTTGGGTAAACACAGCCAACTTGCCTCACATTAGTTCAGGATTTTGAAACTGAGAGTGTTATTGCTTTTATGTGCGCTAAGTTATGCTGGAAATGACACCAACGATACAGCAGTAATGCAACAGTAAAGCTGGGATCCTGATCTGACCTGGTGGAACATGAAGTTCTGCTCCTTTCTCCCTCTCCTTCAGTGGACCTCCAGCTGGATCTCGCCTGGCCACCACTTGCCTTTCTCTAATCTCTATGGCAATGGGGTGCCCGAGTGGCAGTAAGGAAGGGGATACAGATGGATGGAGTTGCGGGATACCTCCATCTACAGGTCTCTTCAACCTGCGGTTCTCCAGGTGATTGGTGTTGGGTTTCATCTCTGACTGCACAAGTCTCCAGTTCTCAATGAGAAGTTAGCCTAGATCAGTGGTTCTCAACCTTCCTAATGCCGTGACCCCTTAATACAGTCCCTCATGTTGTGGTGACTCCCAACTGGGATTGTGACGCAGCTGGCTGAGTGTCAGCTGCATTAAGATCACTCTGATAGCCAATAATCCAGAGGACAGGAACAGGATTCAAAATGATCTTGGCAGATTAGAGAGATGGGCCAAAACTAACAAAATGAAGTTCTACAGGGACAAATGCAAGATACTCCACTTTGGCAGGAAAAACGAAATGCAAAGATACAGAGTGGGGGACGCCTGGCTCTTCCAACTCTAGGATTCTATGATTCTATGAACCTTTGATAGTTTACTAACCTGCCACTGCACAAGGACAGAGGATGTTGTGTGCGGGATCACAGACACAGAACTGGGTGGTTCACCTGGGACTGAAAGAGAAAAAAAGGTGATCATAGATACATTTAAAAAACAACCCCAATTGTTATTAAAGTTTATTGAATTCTTCCTTCCTTGCTATCTTCCTTGTATGCATTGCTGCAGTCACCGCTGTGTTGTCCTATGTCAGAGAAGTGGAAGAGCATCTCTCCCTCCCAAACACACACACACACACACACACACTGCCCCGTTACTTTCAGAGGTCTATCCGCCTAAGCCTGCTTTCAACGCCTATCCTACCTGTGCAGCAAAGGCACAGAACGCGTTGGGGACAAAGCCGAGGAAGCTTATCAAGTGCTCCCAGCTCTCCACGCTAAAACGCTCCAGTACCGGCACCCGTTTCCGCTTGGCAAAATAAATCCTCTGAGGTTGCTGAGGAGGTGAGAAGCTTTCCCCATTAATCACTTCTGTTGTCTGGAGGCCAGAGGGTGTGCCGGGTTCTTTCAAATTCAGCCCAAAGTGTGCAAGGGGATGGAGGGAACTGGGATGACTTAAAATTCATGGGAATGAGTTCCAGAACATCCCCTGCGTTAGCTTGTCGCAACAAACAAACAAGCAAGGAAACAAAAAAGAGCAACGAGAGAAGCAGTGCACATTCAAGATAAGGCAGGGATTCAAAGAGCAAGGTTGAGCTCATCCAAGGGCTTATAGGCCATAATATTGATTTTCTTTCCTTTGGGGACCAGTTTTGTTTTGATTCTTGAGTGACAGATTCCTCACTTCAGCTGTCATGCAGTGTAACAAACTACCATAATTCTTCAATGGTAAACACCAGCAGTTGCAAGATGCACCTTAATTTCAACAGAAATACATAAGATACACCTGTGATTCTAAAATGCAACACATTTTAAAGAGATGTTAATATAGAAAAAAATTGCAATTTAGAATCAAAGAATGACAGTAGTTTCCAAACTCCATTTGGAGTCCGTTCCCTGGTACACTGGGGCTTGCATGATGGCTAAATGGGGCTAGCTGCATATCTGTTTGGACTGCTGTCAAACTGACATACCCAGCTAAGAAAGGGAAATCCTATCACTGATAAACATGGGATTTCACCGTTCAGCACAGCAACAATGCCTGATTTGCAGAAATATCCCCTCGCTCTGCGACACAATATGGAATCAACACAAACTCTGAGCTTTTTGGTGGGTTCACAGGAGGTACTCGGTGTGTTTGGATAGCAATACAACACAAGGCAACTTACGCTACTGTTGTTTTTATGCATGACACTAAAAGGGGACTGTTAAATTCTTGCACATCTTCTGGGTGACTTATGAATGCAAACTCTTCCAAAAAGTTGCAAAATGGTTGGATCAGCAAGTATACTCAAATGTTCTCTTTCTTGCTTTCCCCAAGCAAAGCTGGCTTCACCTTGGGAAATGGGATAGGGGAACAGAAATGACTTCTGGATATGAAGATATTCTAGAAATAATCTTGTGGGGCCTCTTGGAATGTCCCATTCACCCAGGGACCTATGAATTTGTGGGTGGCCAGTACTGTGTAACAGTTTGACATCGACACCGAAATACAACACCGCCTGAGCTCTGCGAGCGCAGCATTTTTCCGAATGAAGAAAGAGTGTTTAGGGACCGGGACATCCGTAGGGATACCAAGGTGCTTGTTTATAGAGCTATTGTCCTCCCAACCCTGCTATATGCCTGCGCAACGTGGACTGTCTACAGACATCGCATGCAACTCCTGGAACGATTCTATCAGCGCTGCCTCCAGAAAATCCTGCAAATCTCTTGGGAAGACAAGCGGACAAACGTCAGCGTGCTGGAAGAAGCAAAGACCACCAGCATTGAAGCGATGGTCCTCCGCCATCAACTCCGCTGGACCGGCCACGTTGTCCGGATGCCCGACCACCGTCTCCCAAAGCAGTGACTCTATACTCTCAACTCAAGAACGGAAAGCATAATGTTGGTGGACAGGAAAAGAGATTGAAAGATGGGCTCAAAGCCAACCTTAAAAACTCTGGCATAGAGACTGAGAACTGGGAAGCCCTGGCCCTTGAGGCTCCAGCTGGAGGTCAGCTGTGACCAGCAGTGCTGCAGAATTTGAAGAGGCACGAATGGAGGGCGAAAGAGAGAAACGTGCCAAGAGGAAGGCATGTCAAGCCAACCCCGACCGAGACCGCCTTCCACCTGGAAACCAATGCCCTCACTGCGGAAGAAGATGCAGAGCAAGAATAGGGCTCCACAGCCACATACGGACCCACAAGAATACTGGAAGACAATCCTCCTCGGAAAACAAGGGATCGCCTAAGTAACAGTTTGAGTAGACTACAATTCAAACCTTAGTCATAGACACCTACTGAGTAACCTTGGGCAAGCAACACCCTTCCAGCCTCAGAAAGAAGCAAAGGCAACCCCCCTGTGAATGCATCTTGCTAAGAAAACCATGTGATAAATTCACCTAAAGACCACTGTAAACTGGAAATGATTTGAAGCCAAACAACAACACCATCAAAAAGCAAGAGTGGAATATGAACCTCATTTTGGCTCATGTTGAAAAGGCATGAGCATGATCTGGAGTGGCATTGCATTTCTTGAGTGGAATGAATTCATGTCTTGAGCCCTCTCTAGTGAAATCTTGCACTTGGCGAGACTGCCTCTTTCCATGCAATGTTGAGAAGGGCTCTAGGCATGCATCCTCGTTTTGGATCCCACCCTCTTCCCCCACAAAACAAGGGGTTCCAGAAGCCAGACCCGAATAGCTTTTCATGACAGGCGCACAGCATAATGTGGCTTTGCCCGGACTCAGAGCCTTCTCTTCTCCCGTCCTCAGATTCTGCCCTGCCTCCCCTCTCTCCCTCATCCAACAATTTAGCACTTGTGCCGCACAGAAGTAGATTTGGCGAGAAAGCAATTGAATAAAGTTCTACAAACAGACACTCAATTCTGCATTCATTTTTAATGCCCCTTAGTAAATTATTCAATTTCAGGAAAGATAATGGTTAGTTAGCACAGAACCTGGAAGACAAATCAAACTGGGTTTAATTCAGTTTCTGGGCCTCTGACAGCAAGATTCATTAGCTGCATGCACCGTGGGAGAGCTGGACTACTAAAGAGGGGAAACTTTGTCAACAGTATCTAGATGGTGAATTTTGGACGACTGGAATTCCTGAGCTCTAATGTTAATGAGGGACATTAGGAATGAATGAAATAGGGATATAAGAAATATTGAATCACATTTGGAACATGAGTTTCTTGAGTGAATGGAAAACCTGTTGAGGAAAATCCTGGTCATGAGAATTTTCAGAGTTTGGAACTTATTCTCTGCAAAATATGTGTGATTTGTTTTCTTTTGAGCGGATATATTCTGTACAAAACATGCTGGTTTCTGCACCAAAAGGTTCTGAATTTTGTGTACTATAAGTGCCCAAATACAGCATTTTTGGCAGAGCAAACAGAATTTTCTGTACTGAAAATAATATTTTCTGCACAGACAATGCCACCCCTATACAGAAATTGTTAGCAGTGTGACAAAAACAAAGCACAATTTGTGAATTTTTCACAGAAGAGACGCTGAATTGTGAAAAGTCTTCAAAAACGTTCTGTTTTTTTGCAGCAGGAATAAATGTAGTTATTCGGTGAATGAAATTAGTGAAGAATGATATCCCTAGAACACAGGGTGGCCAGCAGATAGAACCTGCCCTTAAAATTTTCAGCAGTCAAGTGCTGGCACAGGTGCTTTATGGTGCAGAAATCTGGTGTTCAGATACCAACTTTTGCAAAACTCTGGAAATTCTGCAGAACAAGTTCCTACGAAAGTTTTATTCTCTTCCAGCAGGAACTCCTGCAGCGCTTCTGTGCACCGAATCTGGATGGCCATCAGTAAAATCAAGAATAGATTGTGCCCAATTAAGATACTTCAAACGAATTGCTACTCTTCAGGGCAACCGGTTTCCTCTGTTGTGCTACAAGGAAATGAGTGGCCATGGACAATGGAGATCCGGCCTGGAGGAGCTCTTACTCAACTACAATCTTCCTGAATGGAATTCTGCCCTGGACAGAGAAAACTAAGAGACTGGCTATTTTGGATTGACTCAAGAAGGACCCTGCAATCAATCAGGAACTCAAAGTTTTCCCCATGGTTCCCCTTTTTGAAAATGGAACATTTCAGAGCCAGATATCTGATCAAGCTCAAGCCTCCTTCCTTGAAAACCACCTTCACCGAGCTGCGATTTCTAGTGATGCCAACTGCAGTGTTCGATGGTCGCTACCAAAATGTTCCCTGGGAAAACAGACTATGTATTTGAAGTCAGTGTCAGGTAGAAGACATTGTGCATTATCTATTAGTCTGTCCATTGTATAGTGACCCAAGGGAAAGACACCTAAAACCCTTGTTGACACAAGATGAAGGAAACGCTATTGCAAAAACAGTGCGGTTTTTGCCGAGCGATACAAATGACTTTGTAACTTACAAAGTAGCCTTTTTGCTCGCTCTGCAAAAAAGATCAGAAAGACAGAGTTCGATAAAATTGCTATCAACTGCCAAGGAGATTCTGCCAAGGGTTAACTGGATCCTCTCCTAAAATGTATTTTAACTATAATTAACTTCCATTGTTTTTGTTGTGGGAGCAAATAATGGTTCTGTTTAGCATCTTTGGTGCCTATACTCTGAGGGTACTATTGTGTGCGTAAGGTGCTTTTTGTCATGGCCTTGGGCCCATACAATAAACTATTTCTGATTGATTGATATCCCTAGAATGAACTAGGTAAAGCATTCTCAGTGCCAAATAGCTATTCTCAGTTCCTGTCCCAGGTCGGCTACCTGCATGCTATGGGTCTTACCATCCTGAAGCGTAGTGACTGCTTCTGTCTCGGCACCAAAATTGCTGTCTCCAATATCATTAGTTGCTTTCAGACGCAGCTTGTAGGAAGTGAATGGATTCAGCCTGCAAGTTGGAAAAATGTACAAAACAGGGATAAATGCCTTCTCCCTTGCTCCTTTTTCCAAGGTTGCTTGTTGTTGGCCATTTAATAATAATAATAATAATAATAATAATAATAATAATAAACCTTTATTTGTACCCCGCTACCATCTCCCGCAGGACTCGGTGCGGCTTACAAGAGGCCGAGCCCGAAGTACATCATTAGCAAAAACACAACAACAATACAATGCAACAATAAATAACTCATAACAAAGCAGAACAATAACAAAAACACGGCACTGTTAAAAACCTGTGGCAGGGCCAAATGTAATGGTTAAAATTCTAAAAATGCTGGGCATGTCCAGGTGAGGTAGGATGGATATTTTGGGAATAGAAGGGTGTGCAGACAATGCTAGCTGTCTCATAAAGTGAATTAGGGACATTGCTTGGGATTCCTTAATCTGGGAAGGCACACTGGAACATCCATGTTTTCAAGCTCCTTCTGAAGACTGCCAGTGTTGTCCTTGGGGAGTGAGTTCCAGAGTCGTGGGGTCACCACCGAGAAGGCCCTGTCCCTCGTTCCCACCAATTGCGCTTTTCACAAAGCAAAAGTCCTCAAAGAAACCCTAGTTGCAGCCCAGAGTATCCAAGGTGTCTTGCTTCGAGTCCGAACCACTAACTCTTCGACACAAAGAGGATTCCGGTTCTCTCCCACAACTTCCATCAATCCACAAGCCTCTACCCTCTTCCCAAGAAAGATACTGCTCAAGACTGAATGGCTAATTGGGATACTAATGCAAAGGAATCTGTGCGGTCTTCTTCAGCAGCACAGTTAAACATTAATGAGACAAGGTTTCACAAGTAAACCAATAGTCTCGCCTGCTCTGTTTGTGCCTGCCATGCACATCTCAAATCTGGGGTGAAACAAGAGAAACATATATTCCCTGTGAATAATAACTTACTTTCCCTTCCATAATGAGATTTTTCCCAGAGACTTGAGCTCCAGCAATCAGACAAATTAAGTTTTCCTTCCAATGACCAATCCGAAAGCAAAGCACACTAAATACAAGGGATGTAGTTGAGATAATCAGATGCCACTCGGAAACTGTTCACTACTTGGGGAATGCTGATAAGCCTACTATTTTAGGTATGTTCCTACAAAACAGCATTTTGGGTACCAATTAAAGGGAAAATAATTAAGTTTATTATAGTGTTATTATCAACAAGTACACAATCTAGTTTTCTGTCCCAGGATCCAAAATATCTTGAGCCACTGTTATTGGACTTCAAGTTATCTCTGATTTATGATGACACTACAATGAAACCATGACAAGGATGGTCTATGGCAAGCATCTCTGAGGATGCTTGCCATAGATGCAGGCAAAACGTCAGGAGAAATGTCTATAGAACATGGCCCTATAGCCCGAAAAAACCCACAAGAACCTCATGACAAGGAGGTTTTTTGGGCAGAATTTGCTCTTGTTTTCATCAGAGGATAGAAGAAAGTGATATGCCCAAAGGTACACAGTGGTTTCCATGTCAAAATGGGAATTCAAGCCATGGTCTCCTTGTGTATTACTCCAACACTCAAAACTCTGCACCACACTCGCTCTCTTTTGAGCAACTGCTAAGAGAAATTTTAAGATCATAGAATCATAGAATCAAAGAGTTGGAAAAGACCTCCTGGGCCATCCAGTCCAACCCCATTCTGCCAAGAAGCAGGAATATTGCATTCAAATCCCCTGACAGATGGCCATCCAGCCTCTGTTTAAAAGCTTCCAAAGAAGGAGCCTCCACCACACTCCGGGGCAGAGAGTTCCACACTCTGGGGCAGAGAGCTAGTCAGGAATCCTTCCTACAAGAAAGGAGATTCCATCTGAACATGAGGAAGAACTTCCTGACCGTGAGAGCCGTTCAGCAGTGGAACTCTCTGCCCCAGAGTGTGGTGGAGGCTCCTTCTTTGGAAGCTTTTAAACAGAGGCTGGATGGCCATCTGTCAGGGGTGATTTGAATGCAATATTCCTGCTTCTTGGCAGAAGGGGTTGGACTGGATGGCCCATGAGGTCTCTTCCAACTCTTTGATTCTATGATTCTATGTACTCTGGCTGCAAAATTTCCTCCTGCTCAGAAAGTCCAAAAACAGTGCCTTCTCAAAGGGATTCATGGTCTCCAGACCTTTTATCATTTTATTCACCTTCTCTGGACTTGTTCCAGCTTAGAGTCAATATCCCTCTTGAATTGTGAGGCCCATCATTGGACACAGCATTCCAGGTGAGGTCTGACCCAAACAGAATAGAGAGGCATCGTGACTTCGCTCGATCTAGACACTATATTCCTTTTGATACAGCCCAAAATCCCATTGGTTTTTGAAGCTACTGCATCACATTGTTGGCTCATGTTCAACTTGTTGTCCAATAAGATTCACAAGATCTTTTTCACATGTAACTCTGTTGTCGAGCCAGGTGTCACCCATCCCGTATCTTTGCATTTCACTTTTTCTGCCTAAGTGCAGTATCCTACATTTCTCCTTGTTGGAATTCATTGTTAGTTTTGGCCCAGCTCTGTAATTTGAATTCTGAGGCTGTCTTCTGGAGTATTAGCTAATTTGGTGCAATCTGTAAACTTGATAAGCACACCCTCTAAACCTTCAACCAAGTCACTAATATAGATGTTGAAGGACACCGGGCCTAGGACAGAACACTGCAGCACCCAACTAATCACTTTCAAGTCTGCCTGAGCAGGTTTGCAAGTCTCTCAGTAAAACATGCTTTCCAACTTCCATGAGGTGGAACCCATTCCGTGTCAGAAGCCCATCTTCCTGGAAAAGCAGACCATAGTCCTCAAGCTTAAATGCTCTTGACAACACCATTTGTGGAGACAGTTGTTTACCTCCATTATTTTCTCACCTTTCCTGGGCCACGTCGTGCAACTGGGAGGAGAGATGAAAAGGCAACCTGTACATTGCGATTCTTTAGTGTTCTCCCTGGAGCTTCAAAATCCCTTCTGACCTTTTGTAGACTATGCCTTGCAGGATCATTGGTTCCCAAATGAATCAACAGGACTGAATTCTGTAGCTTTGGACTGGCCTCATCCTCAGAGACATCCCCCATGCATTCATCAAGGACAATCCATTCAGCTGTGTCAGAGAACCCTTCATCCTCCCCAGAGCGCTCTTGTTCTGCATCATTTATGATTGGGGGAAGAGAATCTATTTGATTCTGTATCTCCAGATTTTGTGATTGTGAAAAGGTTGCTTCCTCCTCAGATACATCCAGCATGCATTCATCAAGGGCAGTCTACTCCGTTTGTATCCAAGAATCTCTCATCCTCCCCAAAAGGTTCTAATTCTTCATAATCTGTGTCAGGGCAGAGAACTTCTAATTGATTCTGTAACTCCAGATTCACGGAATGATGACAGTCCTCCTCCTTCTCTTCCTCCCCCTCCTCCTCTTTGTGCCGTCGCGCCTGGGGCTATAACTCTTGGTGAAAGAGGCATGGACGTGACATCTTTCCCCCAGGGGATTGCTTCTTGCCCTCCTTTAGAAAAACTGGAACTCCCAAGGACCAAAAACACTTTAGATAACTCAAAATAGGTTTTATTGTCACAAAGAGTTATCCCTTTAAGGCAATAACTGGAAGTTTCAAAGGGGTAAAGGAAAATATACATTACAGTCTCTGGTTGTCTTGGGTCCAAGGAGTTTTGCAGCTGAGAAGCTTTTCCAGGTCCCTCTTTCTCAATGGCTGTGAATATCGGAATAATCACAACCCCAATTCCAATGGCCTATATTTTGAAGGCACAAAGCCTTCCTCTGGTGCCAAAGAACTGGTTTGAAGGCGCTTGAGACTTCTCAACGTCGTCCAGGTTGATCTGAACATGAAGCATAAGTCTCAAGGGTAAGAACCTCAGAATTGGTGCTGAGAGGTAACTTAATCAAGGGCTTCAGAGCCAAGTCTCTCTCTCACGTCCATCTGATAGAAAGTTTGATGGTGGAATGGAAAAGGAAACACTGTCCTGCTCTCTAGGAAGAGGTGGGGTCAAACAATTGAGCAGAAGGAGCAATTCAACTGGTGCAAACAACATTGATTGACAGCTATAAATAACCAATCAATCCAACTATACATTTACAGGGTAAAAAGGCAAAATCAGGCATGATACAACAGTTCAAATCCTGCAACTGACAGTTCTACATATAGGTGGTGCCACTCTTGCCGTCACACTCTTCCTCCTCCTCCTCCTCCTCCTCCTCTCCCTCCTCCTCTTCCACCTTCTCTTCCTCCTCCTCCTCTTCCTCCTCCTCTTCCACCTCCTCCTCCTCTGTCTTACATTCCTCCAAGTATCACCCTCTTCCAAAGTCACTGATAGGATTCCAGTCTTCCTAAGTGAAGACTGTCTCAGCAATCCCTATTGAGTGGACAAATATCACCAGCCTTCCCATTTGCGTATGAGATAAGGAAACACTTATCAAAGGGTAACTAGCAGCAGAGGGAGGGCCAGTGTGGTCTTTGCAGCCATGGCTTTCTCAGTTAATCTATTAGACACTGCTGCAGGGATGCTATTTCCCACTGCTGTTGCATTTCCAACTGATTCTGTTACTCAGCTTATTTAACACAGATAACGACAGGGGATTCCCGGCAAGTTTTCTGTGTACTCAGTGACTTTAAGATATGCAAAGGCTGGCTTCCAGCCGAGGTGACTTTAGCAGCGCTTCCAGCATTGCTAATGGGAAGTTCCCTCTTGAGTCACTAACAAGGTCTGCAGGAGTTCACAGTCGCACACAATAAGCTTAGCTAATTAATCGGTGAAAGCCAGTACAGTCCTTTGTCTAATAGGGCCACCTAGCAGGACTGATCTACCTGCTAGGGCTGGCAGATTAAACACAGAGGGATACAACGCTGTCTGATGGACAGCATGTGAAATGACTCCGAGGCATCCCCACCAGGCAAGTGCTGCTTGGAAAGGGGTGGTAGGTGCATTCCCTGGTTTTTGGCATTGAGCAGTAATGACCGCATTTGTTCCAGGGAAT